TTATTCTTGGTTGAAATTGTTTCTCTTTTAGAACTTTGAAGATAGGGCTCCAGGCTCTCCTGGCCTGAAGGGTTTCTGTGGATAAATCTGCTGCTATTCTAATTGGTTTTCCCTGGTAGATAGTCTGGCCTTTTTCTCTTGCTGACTTTAGGATTTTTCCTTTCATAGTTACTTTGTTTAGGTAAATTATTATGTGTCTGGGAGTTGGTCTTCTCGTTTGTTGTCTTGCAGGGGTTCTTTGAATCTCTTGTGTTTGAATTTTTTCATCCATAATGAGATAAGGGAAGTTTTCTTGAATGATTTCATGAAATGTTTGTTCCAGTGTGGCTTCTGTTTCTCTTTCTGCCTCAAGAAGCCCAATTATTCTTAGGTTTGGTCTCTTGAAGTGATCATTCATCTCTTGCAGGTTTTGTTCTGTCTTTTTGAGCTTCTTTTCTATGCTTTTGACAGTTTGGGTTAGTTCTGTGTTTTGGTCTTCGAGCTCTGAGATTCTTTCTTCACCTTGGCTGATTCTGCTTTCCATGCTTATTAGTCTTTTGTTCATTTCCATCACAGTATTCTTTACTGCTGTCATTTCTGACAACAGCTCCTTCCTATTTTCTTCTTGTCTCTCCTCAATTTTTTTAATTCTCTCCATTAATGTCTTGATGTCTGGGTTTGTTGCATATAACCAGTCATTCTGGGGACTCTTCATTGTCTGTGTTCTAGAATCTGTTTTCTCAGTGTCTGATTTCCCAGGGGCCTGTGTAGGACCTATATTCTTTTGGTTTTTCTTCATTTGTGCGGTTTTCCCCCCTCTCTACTTTTTCCTTCCCTCCATGTCACCATCCTCTTTAATTCTGTTATTCAGGGGTAAAGGGATTGGTTTTACTTCTGTTTGTTCAATCTCCTATTCTTTATGTATGTCCTCTTACTTTGTTCAATTCTGAAGTTGCACTGTAGGTTGGAGGTGGTCCTTTTTGCAGTTTTGAGATGTATTTAAGGGGAGAGCTTTGATTCAAAATCTGTCTGCAGGTCCTGGTATTCGCTGACAGGCGTGTGGATAATGTGGAACCCACTTCCCACTGTCCTGGAATCTGTCCGTGCAGTGGGGCTGTAGGTTTACTCCCTTGAATCGCCAGCAGGTGGTGCTATTTCATCTGCTCGCCCCAGAGGGGGTGGGGCCGGACAGGAACAAGATGGCTGTCTGCCTCCAAGCAGGCAACAGGAGCCCCACGCTGGGCAGGCAGGACAGTCTTGGATGCAGGATAGGTGGCAGCGATCCCAGCAGATCTTCCCTGAAGCGGTTCGTTGTGGATCTCCTCGGGCCATGTGGTGCGATATGCTACCCCTCCCAGAGGCCACAGCAGCGGTGGCGCCGGCGACGGCAGCGGCAGTGGCGGTGGGGGGAGGGGCGGCGGCAGCAGGACCGTTTGGAATGCAGTCAAAACTGTCCAGTTGTTCCGTTGGCAGCGGCCGAGCTCTGTCTGTAGAGCAGGCTGTGATGCTGGGGTCCCCAGCCCCCCGGGTTGAGAGTCAGAGACCCACTGCAGATCTCCCTTGCAGAGGGCTTCAGATGCCGGGTTGCCCTGTCGCCATCTTGCCGCGTCTCAAAAGATATTTTTATTAACATTTAGTTTAATTTTTTTTTACTTCCCATTTGTTTTCTTCTTGACCCTTGATAACATATATGTATATGTATATTTTTATTTTTAAAAAATTAATATTTAGCATAGTTACATATTGATCAGCAAACATACTATGTTAAAAGTGTGTTAGGCCTGGTTTGATGATTCAGCCTATATTCCCAGAACTTTGGGAGGCCAAGGCAAGTGGATTGCCTGAGCCCACAGGTTTGAAACCAGTCTGGAAAACTGGCCAGACCTCATCTCTACAGTAAATAAAAACAAAAATCAGCCGAGCATGGTAGCACATGCCTGTAGTTCCAGCTACTTGGAAGGCAGAGGTGGAAGGATTGCCAGAGCCCAATAGGTCGATGCTGGGATGGCCGTGAGTGTGCCACCACACTCCTGCCTGGGCAATGGAGGGAGATTCTGACTAAAAAAAAAAGTTAAAATATTTATGTTTATTCTGTCTGTGCAAGCACACACAAACGTATTCTGCAGTTGTGTTCTGCAATATTCTCCAGATATTTTGTATGCAAAGTCTGTGAATTGGCTGTATATAAATTAATCCTAACTGACATTTTGTTTGTTCTACCAATTACTGTGCCAAGAGTGTTAAAATCCCCCACCATAATCATGAATGTAGTTAGTACTTATTTGGTTCTATCACTACTTGTGTATTCTGACAGTATGTTATTACATAATACAAGTTTAGAATTGTTACATCTTCTCAATGAATTAATACTTTGTTGTTATGAAATGACCCAGTGCATATCTAATACTTCCTCTTACCTTTTAAAGTCTATAGTTTGCTGGGTGCAGTGGCTCAGGCCTGTAATCCTAGTATTTTTGGGAGGTGGAGGCAAGAGGATTGCCTGAGCCCAGGACTTTGAGACCATACTGGGCAACTTTGGGAGATTTCATCTCTACAATAAAATAAACAATGTGGAAAGTATCATACTTCCAGACTTTATACTTTACTATAATGTTACAATAATCAAAACAGCCTGGTAGTGGTACAAGAATAGACGTATAGACCAATGGAACAGGATAGAGATTCCAGTAGCAAAATCTCAATGTCTTAACCATCTTGTCTAGTTGACACAGCCTCCACCAACAATCACTGGGCAGAGGAGAATCTATTCAGTAAATGATGCTGGGAAAACTGGCTGACCACAGGCAGAAGATTGAAACAGGACCCCTTTTGATCACCATGCATAAAAATCAACTCTAAATAAATCAAAAACCTAAATGTAAAACCTCAAACTATAAGAATCTTAGAAAATGCAGGGGATACCCTTATGGAAATCAGAGCAGACAACCAACTCCTGATCAAAACCCCAGATATCCATGTCATAAGAGAGAAGATAGATAAGTGGGACCTCATCAACCTAAAAAGCTTCTGCAAAGCCAAGGAAACCATCAAGAGAGCAGGGAGACCGCCCACAGAATGAGATAAGATATTTGCCAACTATATATCTGGAATCTCAATTCTATTCCATTGATCTATATCCCTGTTCCTATACCAATATCAAGCTGTTTTGATGATTGTAGCTTTATAGTAAAGTTTGAAGTCTGGTAATGGAATACCACCTGCTTTTTTTTTTTTTTTTTTTTTTTCCTGAAGATTGTTCTGGCTATTCTTGGTCATTTGTGTTTCCGTATGAATTCCTGTGTTGTTTTTTCTCGGTCTGAGAAGAATGTTGCTGGAATTTGATGGGTATTGCATTAAATCTGTAGATTGCCTTAGGTATTATGGACATCTTAACAATGTTGATTCTTCCAATCCATGAGCATGGGTTATTTTTCCACTTGTTTGTGTCATCTTTGATTTCTTTGAGCAGAGTTTTGTATTTCATTGTAAAGGTCTTTCATGTCTCTGGTTAGGAAGATGCCAACGTATTTCATTTTTTGTGGCTATTGTGAATGGAATTGTGCTTTTTATTTGGGTTTCCGTTTATTTATTATTGGTGTAAAGAAATGCGATTGTCTTTTGTACATTTATTTTATATCCTGAGACTTTGCCAAAGGTCTTTATCAGTGTAAGGAGGTTTTTGACAGATTCTCTTGGGTTTTTAAGGTACACAATCATATCATCTGCAAAGAGAGATAACTTGACTTCCTCTTTTCCTGTTTGGATATCCCTGATTGCCTTCTCTTCTCTGATTGCTCTAGCCAGGAATTCCAATACTATATTGAACAGGAGGAGAGAGAGTGGGTATCCTTGTCTTGTTCTAGTTTTCATGGGAAATGGTTCCAATTTTTGTCCATTTAGGAGTATGTTGACTGTTGGTTTCTTGTAGATGGCTTTTACTATTTTGAGGTATGTTCCCCATATGCCTAGATGTTCGAGGGTTTTTATCAAGAAGAGGTGCTGGATTTTATCAAAAGCTTTTTCTGCATCTAATGATATAATCATGTGGTTTTTGTTTTTACATCTGTTGATGTATTTAATTACATTTATGGTTTTATGAATGTTGAACCAGCCTTGCATCCCAGGGATGAAGCCTACTTGGTCATGATGGATGATTTTTGAGATATGTTGTTGAATCTAGTTTGTTAGGATCTTGTTGAGAATTTTAGCATCTATGTTCATCAAAGATATTGGCCTGTAGTTTTCTTTCTTTCTTGGGTCTTTACCTGGCTTGGGTATCAATGTGATGTTAGCTTTGTATAATGATTATGGGGAGAGTTCCATCTTTCTTAATCACCTGGAATACCTTCAGTAGGATTGGTATCGGCTCCTTCTTAAATGTCTTGTAGAATTCTGCTAGTAAGCCATCTGGACCCGGGCTTTTATTTGTAGGTAGTTTTCTTATTACGTAGTCAATTTCTTTGATTGTTACTGGTCTATTTAGGGTCTCAATTTCTTTTGTTCAACCTAGGCTGGTTGTGTGATGACAGAAAGTCCTCCATTTCCAAAAGGTTTTCAAGTTTGTTTTCATACAAGTGTACATAGTAGTCTCTAATGGTCTTTTGTATTTCTTCGGGGCCAGATGTGACTTCATCTTTTGTGTTTCTGATTGTGCTTATTTGGGTTTTTTCTCTCTTTTTCTTGGTCAGTCTAGCTAAGGGACCATCGATCTTGTTTATCCTTTCAAAGAAGCAGCTTTTTGTTTCATTGATTTTTTTGTATAATCTTTTTGTCTTCTAAGTCCTGGATTTGGGCTTTTATGTTGGTGATCTGGATTTTTCTGCTGAAATTAGGGGTCTTGTGGTGTTTCTTTTCCAGCTTCCTTAGGTGGCTTGTTAGGCTGTAATTTGTGTTCCTTCCATTTTCTTCATGTGCATTTGTAGGGATATAAATTCCCCTGTTACTACAGCTTTCATGGCATCCCAGATATTTTGGTAAGATGTTTCTTCATTTTCTTTTGTTTCCAGGTATCTTTTCATCTCTGTTTTGATTTCATCATTGACCCAGGAGTTGTTTAGCATCATGCTGTTTAGTGTTCATGTCTTTGTGGGTTTTGGGGACCTAGTTGGTGTTAATGTTTATTTTTATTCCACTGTGGTCCAAGAGGTGCATGGTAAAATTTTGGTCCTTTTAAATTTGCTTACGCTTGATTTATGGCCAAGTATGTGGTCGATCTTAGAGTATGTTCATGTGGTGATGAGTAGAATGTGTATTCTGTGGTGTTTGGATGGAGTGTTCTGTAGGTATCGATTAAGTCCATTTGCTCAAGAGTCACGTTGAGGTTCTGGATATCATTGCTGATTTTTTGTCTTGATGATCTGTCTAGTGTTGTGAGTGGGGTATTAAATTCCCCAGTTATGATGGTGTTAGAGTCAATATCTTTCTTTAGTTTTCCTACAAGCTACTTTATGAATGTTGGCGCTCCTATGTTGGGTGCATATATGTTTAGGATAGATATTTCTTTTTGATGGAGTGAGCCTTTTATCATTATGCAGTGGCCCTCTGTATCTTTTTAAATTTTTGATATCTTAAATGGTATTTTGTCTGAAATTAGGATCCCGACTCCTCCTTTCTTTTGTGTTCCATTTGCCTGAAAATTTGTTTCCCATCCTCTTACTTCGAGTCTGTGCCTGTCCTTTCTAGTGAGATGGGTCTCTTGAAGGCAGTATATTGTTACCTGGTGGTATTTTATCCATTTTGCCATTCTATGCCTTTTCAGTCGTGCATTTAGTCCATTCACATTCAGGCTAATTATTGAAATGTGAGAGTTCGTCCCTATCATAGAGTTCCTATAGAGTTGTTGTTCTTCCACTTAGTTTTTTGTCTTTCTTTTGGTTTTGGGGTTGGTTCATGTGTATTTTATTCTTTTTCCTGTACTCTTGTGAAGAATGTTGTTCTTTTTTCCTTTTCTTCTGTGTTTAGTACTTTCTTAAGCGTTTCATGTAGAGGTGGTTGGTGGCAGAGTAAGTTCTTAGGCATTGGATATCTGGGAACGATTTTAATTCTCCCTCCCTGTTGAAGCTTAACTTTTCTGGGTATGTTATTCTTGGTTGAAATTGTTTATCTTTTAGGACTTTGAAGATAGGGCTCCAAGCTCTCCTAGCCTGCAGGGTTTCTGTAGATAAATCTGCTGCTATTCTAATTGGTCTTTCGTGGTAGGTGATCTGGCCTTTTTCTCGTGCTGCCTTTAGGATTTTTTCTTTTATACCTACTTTGTTTAAGCAAATTATTATGTGTCTAGGGGTTGGTTTTCTCATTTGTTGTCTTGCAGGGGTTCTCTGAATCTCTTGTGTTTGAATTTTTGCTTCACTGATTAGATAAGGGAAGTTTTCTTGAATAATCTCATGAAAAGTTTGTTCCAGTGTGGTCTCTGTCTCTCTTTCTGTCTCAGGAAGGCCAATTACTCTTAGGTTCGGTCTCTTGAAGTAATCGCTCATCTCTTGAAGGTTTTTCTCTCTTTTTGAGCTTCTTTTCTGTGTTTTTACCAGTTTGGGTTAGTTCTATATTTTGGTCCTCAAGCTCTGAGATTCTTTCTTCTGCTTGGGGAAATTCTGCTTTCCATGCTTATCAGTTAGTTATTTATTTCATTCACA